GGAGCAACCATGCTGTGACAAATGGCGGGCTATGGGTGACTTGAGTGCAGTAAAACAAATCTGCTTGACAATGACCAATGTTAATCTACATTCAGTTGAATTCACATCTGGTATTACTTGCACTTTAAGTGATGTCAAAATCATAAAAATAAATCACTCATTTTAAATTAATACACAATTTGAACATAAAACAAGATACGATGCCGCACACAACAAAGTTATATGGAGGAATTGACTTCAAGCTTTATTTTTTTCCCAAATATTTGTAATTTATCCGACACGTACTTGGGTTTTTTTGTTAATGCGAAGACAATATTTCTATATTTCTTTATGTGCTCCATTGAACGACTAACTATCAGAATGTGCTCACTAACTGATATCAGAGAGGACAGCCACCATGTAATTTCACTATAAATCAAATTCATGTAATTTAAATAATACTTATCCATGCCTGTACAACTGGTGTGTCCTACATTGATAGGAAATATATATTATTATTATTATTATACTGATTTCATTATCGGCGATAGTGGGGGTTAGCCATGTTTCGGTGAGAATGATCATTTTCAGTTGTAGATGTGCTTGGAGATTTCGGAGTTCACCTACTTTTCCTCTCAGCCCCCTCACATTGCTATATAGGCAGCTGACAGTGAGTCTTACAACCTCAGCGTGTTGTGGAGTAGTTGACGTGAAGCTATCTGCTGGTAGGGGACTTAATGTTGGGACTAGTTGGCCAGTTCCGATGGAACCGGCCCGTTGTGGTTTTTTCCCTTGGATTTAGGCAGGACACTTGGGTGGCACAGACTGTTATTCTCAGAACTGCATCGCTCTAGTGTCACTGAATCTTGAGGACATATTAAGGCCTCCGTTTGCTGCCTCCTTATGGTTCGAGGTCTGCTTTCGCTGCATCAGATGTGTCCTCCCAATTTCCCCTTGATCTCATACCACCGTTGAAGTGCTATGGACAAGTGCTCTGGGGAGTTGAATGTGACGCTTAGCAGCTTTGGGGAGCTAATCAGTGTGAGATGAGCGGGGCGAGGTAGTCGGTAAACAGAGATGGCTCCAGAAGCGCAAAGGGCCATCTGAGACGACAGCCATCTCCACTGCTGTACGTCATGCATGTGTTTTTCACAGGCAGTGCCCGTTTCCACCTCCGGAACACCTTGTACCACCATAGAGGTAGAAGGCAAAAGTTCCGGTGACTACCTCGCCATTTGTCTGACAGCCCATGGTCTGTCTTGTCTCACCCTTATGTTCGAGCTTCTGTCGATGGCTAGTACCTGAGCCATCAATAGTACCTTTTCGGCCTCTTCGGCAGAGTCCAGTGTAACCCGTAATGGGGGTGGCTTACCTTGAGGTGTGTGGACACCCCTGTACAGCCTGCGCAATTTCACTGAACTAATATTCAGACCTAGTTTATTGCACAGGTTGGACCATTGTTCCTGATCAAACAGGGCCCGCTGTTCAAGCAAGCTGTCCTTGCTCACAGGTACGTTAAAGAGGATGAGCGAATTAGTCCGATTAACCTCAGACTTAGGTTTGGCTTTTGGCTTCTCGTATTCCCTTGCAGCATCAGCAACTTTAGGCTTCATCGTGTTCTGGCCAGCCTTTATTGTGTTGCGAAGCTTGCTTGTGGATGCAAGTGGCGCTTCTCTAATTCTATCTTTCCTTGATGTTTTGGGTCCAACCTTTTGAATCTTCACCTCGTGAAAATTGGCATTTTCAGTCAGTAGGACTGGAGTGTCCTTCTTACTGTCTGTGCCAAGTTTTGGCAATGTGATGTTAGCAGGTGGGGAGCTACATAAGGCCGTGTTGGGACACAAGGGCGGCGTGTTGTTTCTACTATCCGCAGACACGCTCCGTGTGACTATGCCAGGGCGACAGATGTACCAAAATCACGGGCACGTGTTATTTCTCATAAACTCGTAGTATGATTTCGGTACCCCTTTGTCGCAACGGCAGTGCACCCGCCGTTTGCAAAAATTGCATTCAAACGCTGATTCAGCTTCAGAAAAAATGATATTGCACGCCTGGCATTCGTCTCCCTTACTTGGTGACGCCTTTGAGGTCTTACGACGTCTTGAGCGTTTCCTTTTAGGTTTGTTGTACTTCACACATTGGCTTTCAGTTGACGCAGGTGTAGTATCCTGTCCTACTAGTATTGCCTGTGCCGTTTTAGTACTATACTGTGGCAATGCAGGCATAGTATCAGGACAGACGAGTCCTACACGAGTCTTTAGGATGGGTATGCGACTTGAGGTTGGTGTCCCTGGGTTTTTGCCTTCTCTGGCTGAAGCCCTTGTGATTACAGAGTAAGGTGTTTTGGTGTCATTTCTAAGGTTACTTTCTACAGCCATATTAACTATCGCTAAAACTTATGCTGTATAAGAATAAGAGTGCAACAGTATCTACCCACAAGAACAAGAATAAGACTGAAAAAGAACAAGACAAGGAAAAGAAAAGTTTTTCGACTTTACCTAGTACTTTCTGGATGATCGGCTTCACAGCAATCACGTGGTAGACCAACAAGTCTTGTTTATCTGAACGAGTGAGGAAGATGCTGCTACAAAAATAGCACCTGAAGCTTTGGCAGTAGTTCGAGACAGCTGGACTTACCACACAGAGATTCGATATGTAAGTAATGGTTGAATTTAATTCACCGGCTAGGAAGATCAGGTTTCCCAAGCGGATAATTCACAAAATAGGTATTTTCCGGTTAGAGAGGAAAAAGCGCGTCGTATTCAAGGGGTAAACTGTTCCAGATCTTAGAGTACATGACTATGAAGAAGTCTGCACGGAGTGCTGTCTTACAGCTTTTACTAGATACTGTGCACGTTCGGTTACGAAGGTTGTAGGAGCCTTCCGGTGAGAACTGTATCTCCTTACTGTCTGAGAATGATATTTTATGCAAGATTTTAAAGAAGAATGTTAGGTTAGTGCTGAGTCGTCTCATCCAGAGTGGGTCGATACCTAGAGTTACACACCTTGATGTGTAGTCCTTTTCTCAGTCAAATCCTAGTAGTTTAGACGTGAAGTATCGTTGGACACTTTCTATTTTCAGTTTATCACTTACGCGAGTGCTGCTGAGAATAAATGGACAATATTCAAGTAGTGGTCCGACACAAGTTTTACATAATAATAGTTTCGCATCTTAGCTGTGTAAATTCCTGAGTATGCATCCTAAGAGCATCCTCGATTTACGCGTCTGTGTAGCCACTTGCTCAGAAAATGTCAGGTCACTAGAGTACCTGAGTCCTGGGTCAACAACACCTTGGAGTTTAGTCAAGTCAATAGATTCAAGTACCAGTTTGATATTTATTGAGGGTGCACCGAAACAGATCCAACCACATTTGTTAAGGTTGAATTTTAGGTTCCATGTGGAGGACCATGCAGTTACTCTATCTAGTTCTTTCCGAACAGATTTCTGAAAGTATCCTAAGTCATCACAGTGGAATGTGTGAGCTACTTTAAGATCATCTTCAAAGATGAATAGTTTAATTATAATAATAATTTAATAATAATTTTTTTGTATTTTCATATAAACATAGATTTACATGAAAATGCACGCCATTTTTACAGGCATGATCAAGTATGATACGGTGTTAAATATTAGATTGTCTAAAAGTTCGTAATGTTTGAACAGCTAAATATTTGATATATGTATAAACACACTCTTTGTCTGACCCTTGTCGTATTATTATTGAATTAAACCG